AAAATTTGCATTAGGGGCTACTCTTAGTCATATTTTTGACGACAATACTGAGAGACCAATCGCGTTTGCGTCAAGATTGTTGAATAAATCTGAAATATCTTATTCTCAAATCGATAAAGAGGCAGCAGCTATAATATTTGGTGTTAAAAAAAATTTTTAGTATATTTATGGACAAAAATTTTATTTATTTACAGATTATAAACCTTTACTTGCTATTTTTGGCAGTAAAAAAGGAATTCCTATATTTGCTGCAAACCGGTTACAAAGATGGGCCCATATTTTATCAGCATTCAACTACGAAATTAAATATGTGTCTTCGGATAAGAACACAGCAGATTTTTTATCTAGAATGCCATTAAATATTCTCGAGAGTGATTCAGAATAGTTTGTTTATTTAAACTCAAAGTCGAATAAATTTTCTTATTTAAATTACTACAATGAACCTCCATTTTGCATAAATTATTTGGATATAAAAAAAGAAACAATAAAAGATCCTATTTTATGTAAGAAATGGTTGGCCTATAAAATGTCCTGATGAAAATTTGAGAAGAAATTTCCATTGAAAATGATTGTCTTATGTGGGGGTTTCGTTTAATTATGCCAAAAAAATTTCAGAATGATATTTTAAAAGATTTACATTCGACCTATATGGGAATTGTAAAAATGAAAAATTTTGCTAGATCATATGTTTGGTGGCCTGCCATGGACACGGACATAGAAACGCTAACAAAAAATGATCATGCCTGCATAGTATATGCAAGTGAAAAACCAAAAACATCTTTAGAATTATGGAGTTATCCAGAAAAGACATGGACTCGCCTATATACATGCAGATTTTTTTGGACCTATAAAAAATAAAAAAAATTTAGTAATACAAGATGCCACATCCAAATGTATTGAATGTTTTCAAGTTACAAATTTAACAACAGATGCAACAATTAAATTTTTTCGTGAAACTTTGGCAAGGTTTGGATTACCGAGTGAGCTTTGTACAGATAATGCCGCTACTTTTAAATCTGATCAATTTCAAAATTATTTAAAAAATAGTGGCATTAAGCATAGCACTGGAGAGCTCCCTATCATCCGCAAACAAACGAGTTGGGTGAAAGCGCTGTAAAAATAATTAAAAAGGCAATGTTAAAAACTATATACGAGGATGAAAATGTTGATTTGGATATGGTTGTGCAAAGGTTTTTGTTTCATTATAGGAATACCCCTCACACCACTACGGGGGAAAACCATCAAAGTTATTATTTAGAAGCCACATTCGTACTAAATGTGATTTATTAATGCCAAATACGGCAATTCAAGTAGAAAATAAAAATAATTATACAAAAAAATATTGTCGCGACCTAGCTGGGGGTTGTTTGCTAGGGTCGCTATACCAGGTTCTCTCTCTCAATCAAAACAACCATTGGATAAAATATGCATTCACTTAATATAAGGTTTACAGTGTATAACAATTTTGGGGAATGCCAAGACTTAACGGTTTACTTAAAGAAGTACTTACAGGAACATCTTCATTCTGCGCTGTCTGCAACTAACGGACTGATAACGCGAATTACTGACCGTAATAATGCGACTCACATCGACGGACTCACCCCCGACTCTCTTCAGCATACATTTTTATATTTTCTATCCCTCGTGGTTATCGCCGGTTACGTCGTTCAATCTCAAGAAATTTCAAACTTAAATTTTATGAATATCGATAAAAATTCTAATATAGGTTATGTTTTTGAAGTCGATTTAGAATATCCCGAGCATTTACATGATTTACACAACGAATTACCCTTTTGCCCAGAGTCCGTTCAACCAGAGGGATCTAAAGTTTCAAAATTAATCCCCAATTTTAATTCTAAAGTTAGATATGTAATTCATTATCAAAATTTACAACATTGGGCCTATATCAAATTGTTTTTTCCCAATTTAATCTAAACCCAAGTTGACATCTATTTAAGTCTTGACATATCCCCCGGGCTTGGGAGCTGGTCCCCAGCGATAAAAAAAATATTCTATAAAGACTTAAATAGGAAACACACATAATAAATTCTTTACAAATACAAAATAAAAGTTAATTACAATGCTACAGTGATCCTGAAAGTCATGAAAATAAAATAAAAATATATGTTTTTATCCTTCACTCTCTAGTCCTGTACAGGGTGGGTCAAATTCGACGCTTTTAAATGGAAACACCCTTTTCTATAGGAGATAGACGAAAACTAATATGGCTGTCTGGAGCTCCATTTTCATCAAAAACATGATGGTGAAAACCGCACATCAATATCTGTTACCTTTTCGGAGTTACGGGGTGTTTGTCAAAAATGTGCATTTTTAACAAATCGCTTTAACTTTTCTACTATGGAAAATTTTGTATTTTTATGAAAACATTCCCAAAGCACATTTTTACGTAGAATTTAATGGGTCAAGTATAATTTTTTTAAAATTAATAATTTAAGAGTTATCAACAGGAAAATTGATTTTTTATTTGGGACACCCTCTATATTTTTAATTAAGTGAAAATTATTTAAAATTACATTTCCAAAAAGATATCACACTTGATATTTTGTTATAATCCCCTTCGAAATACAGAATTTTTAAAAGTTCGCCACTTTTAACTAGTAGGCTTTGGATCCCTTATTGATGATATGCCCTTAGTGGAACTCGAAAACATAATTATTTTTCCAGCAAGACGACGCACCGCTTCTGAACGTGAAGTTATCAGCAAATTTTTGCAGACAATTTCAAGAATAATTGAATAATAGCTAACGAAGATCCCAGCCGTTGGCCGTCGAGGCCGCCTGACTTAGTGCCCATGGACCTAATCCTATGGATATATTTGCGGAAGAATAAAGGTTTCTTATTCTTCCGTATAATCTAGAAAAGAATTATAAATACTTAGCAGTTATGAGGGGATATCTTTCACCCCTACTGAGTTAATGAATTCCGCGAGAAATGTTCAAAAACTGCCCCGTCTGTCAAGGGCGTAGATAAGGGGGGGGGGTACTGGGGGACAGTACCCCCCCCCCTGACGCTTGACGAGATACGAGAATTGAAATAGTCATTGACTATGAAAGGATTTTTTTTAATTAAAATCCGACATATAAGAACACTTTGTATGCTTTTAATTATGTTGATTTATCGTTTATAATATGTTCGACCTAATTAAAAGCACACAAAGTGTTCTTATTGGCTTATTGGTTCTTAGTTTTTATAGTTTTTTTTGATAGTTTAGAGTTTTTTTTGATAGTTTAGAGTTTTTTTTTATAGTTTATAGAAAATTAACTAATAAACGTCGTTGTTTTATTTTTGTTTATGTTATTTACAAATCTATATTTTAATTTTTGTGTTATGTTTTTATATCTTTTTGAAGACAAAAAAATCGCCGTCGTTTTAATTCGACAAAAAAATTCCGACGGCGATTTTTTTTGCGACTTAATCATAGTACCACCCCCATATCATACACCTATCTACGCCCCTGTCGTCTGTCCATAACAGAAGATGGTCGATATGTCGAACACATTGGTCGAACACCTATACTAAAACTCATGTCCTGGTTTGCTATTTATTTTTATTGTTACTAGATATAGGTTAAATGTGTTGATGTTGGTTAAATATATTTTAAATTGTTATAAAATTCTGCATCTCTCATAGCAAATATTATTTTCGTTTTAATTGATGCTCACAGCTAGAATTTTTTTGCATTACAGCCGGAGCCGTTCAAAGCCTACTTATTTAAAGCGGGCGAATTTTTATATATGTACTCTATATCTCGAAGAGGAATCGAACAAAATATCAAGTGTGTTATATTTTTGGAAAGGTAACTTTAAACTCTTTTCAATAAATTAAAAATATACAGGGTGTCCCATATAAAAAATCAAATTTTCTGTTGATAATTCTTAAATTATTAATTTTAAAAAAATTACACTTAAACCATTAAATTCTACGTAAAAAGGTGCTTTGGAAATGTTTTCATAAAAATACAAAATTTTCCATAGCAAAAAAGTTACAGCGATTTGTTAAAAATGCATATTTTTGAAAAACACCCCGTAACTCCGAAACGGTAACAGATACCGATACGCTGTTTTCACCAACATGTTTTTGACAAAAATTGAGCTCCAGACACCGATATCAGTTTTTGTCTATCTCCTATAGAAAAGGGTGTTTCCATTTAAAAGCGTCGAATTTGACCCACCCTGTACAATAATAAGGGTCCTACTCGATACCACCCGTATTGGAGAAGTGCGTCGTCCTTGTACGTTGCGTCCTGTTGCGTCCATTTCAACCATAGACTTTAACCGTAGCTCATATCAGTTAAGTAATGCACACGCCAACACTGCCTTTGCCTTTGTTTGACTGGTTGCCTTCTTATCCATCGCATACTTCTATTCTTCCGCGCGCTTGGTTTCAATGTCAAACGGGCGACGGCCTTTTGAAATTGCTGGTGTGCAGAAATGCAGTTGTGGACTTATTAATTTTAAATTTTAGTTTGACTGGTCTTATTTTATCAATGAAAATTACGTTAATAGCTGGGAGAAACCGCACAGAGAAATGAGAAACCTGCTCCTACCTTTAATGGTCGTCTCAGACAGCTTCAGAGGGCCCTCTTCTCGATCTTGATCTTCTCAGCGCTAATTTTCACACATACACTAACATAAATCGTCTTTGAAGGGATTTAACTTTTAAGTTCAGACTTTCGGCGCGTACCGGTTAGCTGACCAATTTCGTCGTAATAGACTGTGTGCCACACTTCCTAGTGTTCGGGCATGCGTACACTGATGTTGCAGGAAGCAGGTATAAGTGCGGCAATTTAAAATTTAAAGAAATTAAAATAATTAATCTTAATCTAAGAAATTACATAAAAGAAAATAATTTTATAAGAAATATTAAGTTTCCTTAACATTCCACCCACCAAAACATATGTTTTTAAAAATAAGATAAAGAAAAAAAAATAATAATGCAAGTTAAGAATAAAAAAATGTATAAAGAATTATTTTACCTTATTAGTTGCCAGGTAAAGGGCAAATTTTGACAACTGGTCTTTGTAATATCCCATGTGCAGTTTTAAGTGTACTGTAAGTGTTTGTAACTACACGATCAATATTGACTTTTCCGGGATGAAGCTTTATGACTCTACCCAATTCCCAAGATAACGGAGATTTTGTTTCATGTTTGATCAGAACTAATGAATTCAATTTTATTTCAGGAGTAGGTTCGGTCCATTTATGCCGTTCTTGCATTAAATGTACATACTCCTGAGACCAACGTTTCCAAAAATCAGTATGCATACGTTGAATTAGTTGCCATCTAGACAATCTATTAAGAGGGATAGAGGTCAGATCAGGTTCTGGAAAACCAATTGTTAAAGGTTCTAAGGTCAGAAAGTGACCGGGAGTTAATGGTTGTAAATCATTGGGATCGGCACTTATAACCGATAATGGCCGAGAATTCAGCACTGCTTCAATTTGGGTTAGAATAGTGGAGAATTCTTCATATGTCAAAATCTGAGAGCCGATTGTTCGATATAAATGAGATTTCATAGATTTTACACCGGCTTCGGCCAGGCCATTAAAGTGAGGACTGCCGGGTGGATTAAATTTCCAAGTAATGGATAAAACTTGAGCCGCAACCTGGACGAATTGAAGCATTTGGTTGCTGGCACCTTTGAAATTAGTACCTTGATCACTAGAAATAAAAGAACATCTGCCACGACGCGAAACAAAACGCTTAAAAGCGGCCAAAAAAGCCTCAGAAGTAAGGTCTGAAGTAGCTTCAAGATGTATTGCTTTGGTAGCTGAACATACAAAAACACAAACATATCCCTTATAGATCTTGGCTTTTCTGTATCGATGCATTGTTAGAGAAAAGGGACCTGCAAAATCAATACAAATGGACGAAAATGCTTTCAATTGTGAAATACGTAACGATGGTAAATCAGCCATATAAGGATTGTATGATTTAGGTTTACAGCGAAAGCAACGAATACATCGATTTAAACATTTGTATATAGAACTTCGTGGAGATAGTATCCAAAATTGTTGAAGTATTAAACAGTGCAGTGTCTTTAAACCTGGGTGAAGGTTTGCTTGATGAATCCACTCAATAATCAAATCAGTAAGTCTGTGTGATTTAGGCAATAATATAGGGTGTTTTACATCGTACGTGAAGTTGCTATTGTTAAGTCTGCCACCCACCCTGACAAGACCTTCCGAGTCCAAGAAAGGTACGAGTTTCCGAAAAGGTTTAGGAAGTAAAGCAATTGATAGAATTTTATCTATAATGTCTGAAAAGGTCTTTCGTTGAACATGTCGAATAATATAAATCAATGATTTATGCATTTCAGAAGATGAAATAAAAGAGGTTTTACTTTGCAGTGAATCTTTAGATTTAAGGAAAAATCTTAAAACATAGGCTAAAACTCTTTGAATTTTACGTATCGAAGAAAACTTGTGTAGCAAATCGCATATGATATCTTCTTCTAATGCAACATGGAGAGATGTTTGTTTTTCTTCACTGTAGACAGATTCACACATTTCTAAATGAGGTTGAGCAGGCCAGACATCTCGGTTGCAATGTTGAAGAAAGTTTGGACCGCGCCACCAAATTTTGTGTTCTAAGAGTTGAGATGCAGTTAAACCACGAGATGCGCAATCTGCAGGATTGTCACTGGACGGAACATAACGCCAGGAAGTGTTAGAAACTTTGCCTTGGATATGACTTACTCTGTTAGCTACAAAGTTTTTTCCATTTATGAGGACTGGCAGCTAACCAGGCTAAAACGACAGTCGAATCAGACCATGCATATATGGAATTAAAACAGAGATAATCTGCGTAAGTAGTAGTAATAACAAAGTAAGCAAATCCGCCAATAAAACAGCTGCACAGAGCTCTAAACGAGGCAATGAAACAATTTTTAATGGAGCCACTTTACACTTAGCAGTGACCAAAAGGTACTGACTTGACCACTATCATTGATAGTCCGAAAATATATGACGGCTGCGTAACCAGTTTGGGAAGCATCACAGAAACCGTGCAGTTCCATACAAGAAATATTATCAGAAATTACACGTCGAGGTATTCTAATTCCAGCTAGTTGGGATAGTTCGGATTTATACCTATTCCAGACCTGCAATATTTCTGTAGAAGGAGTTTCATCCCAAGATATATTAGATTCCCAGAGTTTTTGTAGAAGACATTTTGCTAATAGAATAACTGGGGAAATAAAAACCAATAGGGTCATATATTCTACTAATTTCGGAAAGTATATTCCGTTTAGTACATTGGCCATCAACTGGATTAAAAGAATAAGTAAACTCGTCAGATTTTGGACACCATTTTAGACCTAAAACTTTAATGAACGAAGGTTCTTCTTTGTCAAAGCTACCAGACATTTGTACATCAGAAGGAGGAATATGGCTTAACAAATCAGGTTGATTACTTGCCCATTTTCTCAATTCGAACCCCAAAGGACGCATAAGATCAACAAGTTCGTGTTGCAAACTTAGAGCAGATTTTAGATCATTTGCACCACAAATTGCGTCATCTATATAAATATTTTTCTTTATTGCCTTTGCAGTTAAAGGAAAATGAGACTCTCCCTGATTAGCAAGTTCTTGCAGTGTTCGAAGAGCTAAATATGGAGCAGACGATACCCCGTATGTCACTGTGAGCAGTTTGTATTCTTGAATTGGTTCATCTGAAGAAAACGCCATATGATTCTTTGAAAGTTTTGAAATTGTGGTTGAATAAGAATTTGTCTATACATTTGCTTAATGTCACAAATAAAAACATATAGATGAAATCTAAAAGTTAAAAGAATAGAAGCAATATCCTGTTGTAACTTAGGTCCTATAAATAAAGAATCATTGAGAGATGTTCCATTCGTGTCTCGAAAACTAGCATTAAAAAAACCACCCTAAGCTTAGGTCCAGATATCTCATTTTTTATAACAGAATGATGAGGTATGTAGTAAGCTGTAGGAGAGTTATAGTCTTCCGGAGGGATCAATACCATATGTCCATTGTTGAGATAATCCTGCATAAACTCAAAGTAAGCTTTACGAAGCTCTGGATTTTTAGCAAGCCGGAACTCTAGTGATATAAATGGTCGACGAGCTTGATAACATGTATTACGGAAGAATGGATTCTGTATTTTAAACGGAAGAGGTACACAGAATCTGCCAGACTGATCTCTATAAGTTAGCGATCTATAAATTTCCTCACACTGGACATCCTCAGTAGACAGGCTAGAAATTTTAGGAATTTCCTCAACTTCCCAAAATTTTTGAAGCTGAATATCTAAGTTATTTTCAATAGAAGTATGGCAGCTTAGCAAAGTTGAATTATGTAACGGTACATGGTCAGAAACTGCCATACCTTGAAGAATATATCCGAAAATTGTTTCTAAAGCAACAGGTTGACCCGGTTCACCTAAAATCCGTCCCGAACGTAGAATATGAGGTACCAATTCAGCACCAATTAAAAGGTCAATAGGACCTGGTTTATGAAATGAATAATCAGCTAATTTAAGATTCTGGATATGTGTCCAAGACGAAGGATTTATATTTATCTTAGGTTGACCAGAACAAATTTTCGGTAAAATTATACTATCAAAAGAAAATAGAGGGTTAGAATCATTACATGGTTTAATCGTACAATGTGTGACGCCCTGATTTGTTTGCGCCGACATTCCATTAAGTCCTTCAATGGGAATAGAAAAGCGTTTGCGTGGTAATCCAAGACGATTTACACATTTTTCTGTAATAAAGTTAGCCATGCTAGCGGAGTCAAAGAGAATTCGAATTTGTTGAAAGTTTCCCCGAATATCTTTGATGTCGACAATGGCTGTAGATAATAAAACCGTAGATTGTTTAGTAGATAACGTGCTCGCCATAGCACCGACAGAAGGGCCAGGAGTTGACTCTAGGATTGCACGGTCAAGAGTGTGATTGAAATTTGAATTGATTGGAGTATTAGATGCATAACTATCTATAGCTTTATCCAGATGCAATAATGTGTGATGAGGAGATCCACAAATTTTACATTTAAAAGAAGAATTGCATTTTCGTACAGAATGGGAAGCTAACAAACAATTTGTACATAAATTGTGTTGTTGAGCAAAGTTTAACCGGTCCTGCGGTGTTTTTGAAAGAAAGGAAAAACATCTGTATAATGCATGTGAAGATGAACACAGTACACATTTCAGTTTGTCCCCCTTATTAGATTGATATGGTGTGGCATTGTTATTACTTGTTGTCATAAAGGCTGGATAACCAGTTTTAATTTCTGAAGATTTTTTATTAGATGAAAAACTAGAGGATTGATACGATTGTTTGCTCTTATCCTTATAATGTTCATTATTGTATGAAGTAGTAAACTGAACTGACTCTAAGGCTTTACATTTATTTTCCAAAAAATGTGTTAAATCTGAATATGTCGGAATTTCGACAGTATTTTGAACTTCAAAATCAGTCCTAATAGAAACATTTAATTTTTGCAATAACATATTAAATAAGAGAAAATCCCAATGAGTAACAGGAAATTGCAAAACGCGTAGCGCAGAAATATTTTCGGAAAAAATATTTAAAAGGTTTCTAAGTTCAGTACAAGTTCCTTTTCTGACCTGTCCAGCTTGACAGATTTCATTATAATGATAAGTAGCCAACAATCTTTTATTTTGATATCGATTTTTAATAGCAGTATAAGCAACTGTATAATTATTTTCAGTGACTGGAAGTCCTTTAATTACAGATAGAGGTTCTTTACCCAATGACGTTAGTAAATATTGGAACTTTTCTACATTTGACAATTGTGAATTTTCATGTATTAAAGTATTAAAAAGATCAAAAAATCCAGACCAACTTTTGAAATCGCCTTCAAATATAGGAAGAGTAATTTTCGGTAATTTTGCAGTAATTTTAGGAGTGGAAACATTGGTCGAATTATTTGTCAAAGAACTGTCACCTACAATTTGATATTTTATAGCTTTAGATCCGTAGAATGCGTTGTCAGCTGATATACGTAAAGCATCATATTTTTTAAAATCTTCGTCTGATATGAGAGAAATAATTTGATTGTGATGTCATAAAATCTTCATACACCTTGTCAATAGTCTCTACTCTAGCTAAAAATATCGATTTTTGAGAGTTGTCACTAGATATTGCAACATCAATATCATAAGTTTCTTTTAAACGGTTAAACGCTGTTGTTCGTTTTAAATCATACTTAGAAATTTTATCTGACATAGTGAAAATATTTTAATATTATATCTGATTTTGATTAATGAAATTATAATATTAAAACTAAAATAATAATAATTGAGTTCAGGTAAAACTGCAAGAATTAATATCAGTAAAAAATATTGTTATAAACAAATGTGAAACTATCAAAAAAAAATGTACTAAGTACAATTGTGACAGTACAATACGATAGTACAATTCTACGTCGCTCAGAATTTACCCGACCAAGTAAATTGGTGCGTATTTGTATCGCTGCGCGCTCGTACAAAAAATGAACCAAAAAACTATATGGCTTGGTATCTGTGGAATGTATGGATTTTAAATCGCAAAATTGAAAACTGATATATTAAAAAGAATTATAAAATAAAATCCGGCTATGTAGGGGAAAGCCTCCTAAGTTGGACCGCATCCTAAATTGAACCACCACTTTTATTTTTATATTAACGGACTAAAGCGGCCTCTGTTGACCGATATTTGTAGCTTACATCTCATTTAGCACCAGTAAGGAGGCGCCCGTTAGTAGTTTTCTTATTAACCACAGAGTCGTATGTTTCATGTTTTTGCTCCGGTTGATGTAATATTGTTATAAAATTCGCCTAAAAAAGGCCTAATAATACACTGGTAAGTTTATATTCCATTTTTAATGGACATACAGTTTAAGCAGGCTATTAGCTATTGTTTAGACATATAATTTAACAGATAGTTGTAATAACACCTTTTTGAAGTTATAAATATTATTCATGGTTATAGTTTCCTAAATTGAACTGTTTGAAGGTTCTTATATCGGACCGGTCCAAATTAAGCAACTGTGGTTTATTTCAGGTGAATATGACAGAACGTGCAAAATATGTGAAATGGAGTGAACAAAATATGAATGAAGCGTTAATCGCATTTCAGAATGGTGCTGCTGTGTTAAATGAAATAGCTAGGAGATATAAGGTACCAAAGGCAACGCTGAAACGAAGAATTGATGATACGAATATGAACGTTCATGGAAGCGAAAAAAAATTTGGTCGTGCTGCAGATCTTCCACCAGAATTAGAGGAGGAGATAGTTACACATGCTCTGGAGCTTGAACGGAGGCTGTTTGGAATAATCCGTAGTGATTTAAGAAAGCTGGCTTACGACGTCGCTGAAGCAAATGGGATTCGACATAGATTGAAGAATGGACAAGCCGGTAAGAAGTGGTATTATTGCTTTATGTCGCGACACAAAGAGTTATCGCTTCGTCAGCCAGAACCTACTTCATCGGTCAGGGCTCTAGGGTTTACCAAGGAAAAAGTTAAACTTTTTTTTGGTTGTCTTACTGCTCTTTTTGATAAGCATTACTTTGGTCCATCGGAGATATATAATGTCGACGAGACTGGTCTTTCTACAGTCCAGAGACCACAGAAAATTATTGGACGAAAGGGCAAGCATCAAATAGGATCTTTAACAAGTGGGGAACGAGGCGTAAATACCACGTGCGTTTGCTGTTTTAATGCTGCCGGAATGTACATTCCACCGATGTTAATTTTCAAACGCATCAGATTTAAAGATGAACTCAAAGAAGGCGCACCTCCAGGAACAATATTTGCTTGTTCGGAATCGGGATGGATAACCAGCGAATTATTTGTAAATTGGCTAAAGCATTTTATTAATTCCGTAAAACCGTCAAAAAATAAAAACGTGCTTTTAATTATGGACGGTCACACAACACACACCAAAAATCTGGAAGCCATAACTCTAGCTAGAGAGAATGGAATAATTATGATGTCATTACCAGCTCACACCATACATCGGATGCAACCGTGTGATATTTCATTTTTTAAGCCCCTTAGCTCATATTACAACCAAGCAGCTGATAAGTGGCTTCGTGCCAATCACAGTCAAAATATTACACAATTTCAAGTATCAAGGCTACTTGGAGAAGCGTATGCTAAAGCAGCATCGGTCGGAAACGCCGTTAGCGGCTTTGCAAAATGTGGCATATGGCCTTTAGATCCGAATGTTTTTGACGATAATGAGTTTGTTAGTCTTCCCAGTGATAACATGGATTGCATAAATACCCCAAAGGACCAAATAGAACCTAAAACACAAGCAGTTGCACAAGAAGTTTCTACTAGCGTCAATAGCCGCTTGGAAATCCCATCTACCTCTACCTTGGAAGAATCAGTGGAGGCAGAATGTTCCACATCATCCTTACAAAAATTTAAATCTGTGTCCGAAATATCTCCTATGCCAGTTTTGCCTTCAGTCACTTCTAATGGTACTACATTACTAACCAGCACTCCATACAGGAATCGTCAAGTGAATCTGACAACGAAGATAGTCTTTGCATTGTTTGTATATATCCATTTTCACAGTCCAATCCAGGGGAAGAATGGATTCGATGCACCTCATGTAAAAAATGGGCTCACTTGAAATGCACTAATGGCCGAAACAGTATTTTTTATCGGTGCATAAATTGTGAATCTGATCGCTCTGACAGTGACTAACTGATTCGTTCCATGTTATGTGTGTTATACCAATTTTTTTTTTAAGATATGTTATTAAGTTTGTTGTCTACTTATATCTTTAACTTCCTATAGAACGTTATCTTTATTTTAATAAATATTTTTCCTTAAATAATTAGAAATTAGCATGGTTCAATTTAGAAAACCTATGGTTCAAAATAAGAAGCCAAGATCCCAAATTGGACCAGTGACTTAAAATTTTTATTCTTTATTTTTTTCCAACCAAATAGATTTTTAAGGTGTTTCAAAACAAATATGCGTTTATGACACTTTCTAATGATGGCACATATTTTTTTTGGAATAAATTGGGTCATAGAGATTTTTAAAAAAAAATCATATTTGCTTAAGTGGTTCAATATAGGGACCTTTCCCCTATAGACCAAAAATGTGCAGAAATGCAGTTGTGGACTGTATTAATTTTAAATTTTAGTTTGACTGGTCTTATTTTATCAATGAAAATTACGTTAATAGCTGGGAGAAACCGCACAGAGAAATGAGAAACCTGCTCCTACCTTTAATGGTCGTCTCAGACAGCTTCAGAGGGCCCTCTTCTCGATCTTGATCTTCTCAGCGCTAATTTTCACACATACACTAACATAAATCGTCTTTGAAGGGATTTAACTTTTAAGTTCAGACTTTCGGCGCGTACCGGTTAGCTGACCAATTTCGTCGTACGACGGTTTGTAATAGACTGTGTGCCACACTTTCTAGTGTTCGGGCATGCGTACACTGATGTTGCAGGAAGCAGGTATAAGTGCGGCAATTTAAAATTTAAAGAAATTAAAATAATTAATCTTAATCTAAGAAATTACATAAAAGAAAATAATTTTATAAGAAATATTAAGTTTCCTTAACAGCTGGGATCAGCGGAATACTGGACAATTATTTTTCTTTTCTTCGTTAGTGTACCGTTTTCATTCGAGCCAAACAAAATTTACTTGTTAATATTTCTTGGTTTTCTGGCTCCTCTGCGGTATTATGGGTTCAGTGGCTTGTTACTTCAACCATCTAAATTAGTTTTTTCTCCAGGCTGGTTATTGCTTCCATATCCGTATCCAAAATTTCCATACATCTCCAATCCGTTAGAATTCGAGGCAAAAAGGCGAGCGGCGTGTTTAACAGTTACTCAACTGAACAGAGCTTGTGATGCTGGAAAGTTTCATCTCACTGGTGTGGTTGGTACGTGTTTCCAGACAGCAACTCATTTCTTCCTCCGACTTCTTAGTGTTGATTGTGGTATCGGCAGGTGTGATACAAAGATTCATGAAGGATTAAAGAGTAACTACTATATTTTATTCATATCTCTAATATCTAAAACAGAATAACATTTACATGTTTTTTTTTTACATTTTACATTTACATTTTATGTCAAGACTTAAATAGATGTCAACTTGGGTTTAGATTAAATTGGGAAAAAACAATTTGATATAGGCCCAAGAGATCGGTTACCTGCATGACATCGACCCAGATATGTTTTTAAATAACATTAATAATTAAACAATTAAAATACAACAATATCGGGTCGATAATCAAACGCAGGCTACCAAAGTTCGATTTCCTCATGGTCATAGCCGGGTGAATGTAATTAGATGAAAACAGATTGAACGACGTAACCGGCGATGACCACGAGGGATAGAAACTATAAAAATGTATGCTGAAGAGAGTCGGGGGTGAGTCCGTCGATGTGAGTAGCATTATTACGGTCAGTAATTCGCGTTATCAGTCCGTTAGTTGCAGACAGCGCAGAATGAAGATGTTCCTGTAAGTACTTAACTTACAGGAACATCTTCATTCTTTAAGTAAACCGTTAAGCCTTGGCATTCCCAAAAATTGTTATACACTGTAAACCTTATATTAAATAAATGCATATTTTATCCAATGGTTGTTTTGATTGAGAGAGAGAACCTGGTATAGCGACCCTAGCAAACAACCCCCAGCTAGGTCGCGACATGTGGTGGAGGCGCCGTTGGTTCTTTTAAATATTTTTTATACACCACCACTCATGTGGTGGAGGCGCCGTCGCTTTTTTAATTTTTTTACACCATCACTCATGTGGTGGATTTGTCGCCGAATTTCTTTTAATATTAAACTTTTTTTTAACAAAGAACAGTTTTTTAACAATTTTAAATTAATAAAGCCTTTAATTTTTTAGCAACAATCAATGTCTTTTTTTTTGCAATTTTTATATTATCTTTTGGCCAGTAAATTAAATGCTTACTTTGACATTTTTACACTTATTTACACATGAATTATTTTTTGACTTAAGCCAATATGTCCTATTACAATTATTTTCTAACCTCTAATAACGATTCCATATTTTTAGTTGTTGGACGAAATATTTCTTTTCTTATGCATTCATAGATAACCTTTCTCGGTGTATTTTTGACCAACACGATAATGCTTGTATTTCTTTATGTAATTGCTAAAATCACTATTTTTTTTTCGCTGAATCGTAAAAAATTTTATAAAATACTTTAATTAAAAACTTTAAAAAATATTTTAATTTTATTTCCAAGTATTTACTGTTTTTATAAACAATTATTATGGACAGCTATTATATTAAAATCAAAAACTTATCTTTCTATTTTTAACAGTAAAATGAAAAATCTTTTAATACAAACCCTGTTATTTATTTTAGTTTATTGGAATAATTATTATAATTTCAATCGCTTTTTTTCTAAAATACTATAGGTACGCACAAATACATAATCATTTTCTATTTTCAAATATAAGTTCTAGTTTTTATTTTATTTATTGCAATTATTATTGTGTTATAAAAATATCTAATCAATGCTTACATAGACAAAATTCCTATTTGCTTGAATTTGAAAAATAATTTGTTTTCTATTTCATGTTATATGTAGAGGGCGATAATTATTTATACTCTACTTAAAAATTCTATATTAAGTTTTAATATAAATTGAAGATTAGTAAACCTATATTCATGATGTTTTTTAATAAAACACCTGTTCTGCCTGAGTTCATACAGCCACCTAATTTTGACCCTAGATTCGACTGTCCGGTGTTTTTCATTCAAAAATATGACAGAATAACCGACAAGAATGGTTGGAGCCACGCTTTTAAAATAAAATATTTAAATTGTTACCTGGAAGATGCTGCCTTAGTTTGGTTTAAGAAATAAGTTAACAACAAGGATAATTTTAATAAAAATCGGCCGGATTTAAAAAATTTTATTAAGCAGTTTGGTGGTGAAAATCCATTCCGTAAACTAAAATCTAAATTTCGTACCCGTATACAAGCGAAATGAAGATATAAAATATTACTACTATGATTTATTGTCGATTGTATACGAAATTGATAGTGAAGTAAATTTTGATTTTTTTAGAGAACAATTTGAAAACGGTCTACATGAATCATATAATAAATATTATTATCTTTTAGTTACAGAAAATATGAATTTTGAAAGTTTAAAAACATAGTTCACAAATTAAATGATTTAAAAGAGATATTTTTCGAGTCTCAAATGTCAGCATATTCCCGGAATAATTATTATTGTGACAATTGCATTCAAAATAAAAGACAACCATGGCGAATCAATTTAGATTTCAGGAATAGGTGGTCAGTCAACAATTCTGATAATGGTAATTTCAGTAATAAGTTGGATAATTTAGAAGGCAGAACAAGTTTTAGAAATAATAATAATAGTTATGGCTCACATAATAAAAATAATTTAGTTCATTTAAAGTATACTAAATCAACAAAATCACCAAAAACTAATAAAGAGTACAATAATAGCAAAATCAAGCACAATCATGTAATAAAATATGGTCGACAAGACGGTCTCCCATGTGAGACATATTGATCAGGTGGAAGATATGCTAATTATGTCAGCAGAGCATTGCATTTCAAATAAAGACAATTATGTCACTGTACACGTGGAAGATGAATTGGAATCTCCCCCGAAAGAAATAAAATGTGATGAAAACGTCTTTTGTATTGTTGAAGCACATTTGCAGGTAGAGGATGCCCGGAGTGCCCTCCATAGCCAAATAGAGATTACACATATTGGGGATGATCAGAATGCCCTCTCAAAAATAAAATGTGAACACTTGGATTTGGCGCTAGCCAGTACGAACGAGCCTCGAATAGGAAGAAAAGGACGATTTCCTAGTTTCCAGATGAAAAACCGATTATAAAATGTGTACGCGAAACGCCCTTTTAATAGAAACGTGAATAATCTTAAGCAAAAGGTTGATATATATAATGGAATACCTCGGAAAAAATATACAGACAGAAAAGGACAGGATAGGACAATGGATTTGACATCCAGAAGGCGTAATGCCAAACAGTCAAAGAATATTATTATCCATCCTAGTCACCCTCCTTGGGCTCATCAGTTGAGTCAAATTTTTGTCTTAATGGAATATAAAAATTGCAAGAATTCAAGGCACTTGAAAAAGGAAAAGTGATTAGATAGAATTTAAGAAGAAACTTTAGTAGCATAATATAGTAATTTTAACATAAGTTTAAACTTCCGTCCGCAAATAACTAGTACTAATATAATATTTTTGTTAGCATTTTTTAGGGTGATCAAGATGATACTTTCCAACACACATGGATTTATTGATATATATATATATATATATATATATATATATATATATATATATATATATATATATATATATATATATATATATATATATATATATATATATATATATATATATATTGTCAAGGATGGAATTATTCGATATATAAAATAACATATTTAATATTAATATATTTCGTAAATTAATAATTCGATTGAAAGGAAGTATAAAATAATTAAAGTTCATTGGCATTTACGCAACAAAAGTAAAGTTTTAAAAATCAAAGTTATAAGCATAATTGGCAATTGCGAAAATATTTCCTTTCAATACTAAGAATTTATAAAATCATCAAATC